CATCAAGTGGAAATATGTAAGTACACACTGACATTGAGTTACTTGTGAAGTAAGCAACCAGCTGTGTGAATATCACCATCCAGTCTAAAGCTGGGCATACACTGTGCAATTTTTTTTTCAGTCGCATTATGCAGCTTCTGCTCAAACTGTAGGATTGAATCACAGGGATTAGAAGTTCGTAGGTCACAATGCATGGTCTCACACTATACAGCCCGGTGCTCTGATGCGACCTGTTGTGAAGGCCCACCTTTTAGCACATCCCAGCACACCCACTCACTAAACTCTGAGCCTTCCTTCCTTCATAACACGACCTGAGTGCTCACACTGTGCGTCCATAACATGAAGCTTATAACACAAAATCTGTCTCTCTCTCTCTCCCTCTCTGTCTTTCACTTTACACAGACACACACCACCACCATCAACTTTGCTAAATTGCTAATGAAAAACATTGACCAGCCAGCTGCAATGGAGCAGCAATGTCCATCCAACTCTTTTCACGGTTGTTGTGTGACAAATTGCACAGTGTATGCCCAGCTTAAGGGAATGAATAAAATAAAACGATGAGAGAGTGTCCTGTCTAGGGCAAAACTTTAGGCTTATGTCCATCATAAATCTACAGCTAGTGTCTTCAAGACTTATTTAAAGAAGTCAGATAAATATGGCTCCACTTAATCCACACTGTAATTAAAGAGATTACCTGGCAAAGATGACCTGTTGAATTTTGCATTATGAGTTAGCAGTGTACACCTATTCTAATTAGCACATATGTGATACATTTGTACGTTCTACTTGGAGAATGCTTGAATGAAAGCTTAAATGCATTGTTTAAAATTGTTCTATTTTTGTGCATGTCTATATAAATACGCTTGAAGAATGAAGATTTGTACAGATTTGACAAACCCTGTCTTCTTTGTCTTATTCTTCTGTTGCCTTACACTTTAGGAAAAAGATGATGGCACACCTGGTGATCTGTTAATCAAACAGGCTCACAGTGACCAGGCCACAGTTCAGGCCACAGATGGTTATGCTCAACGGGTCAGCATCAATAGGCACTTCAGCCTGCTCATTACCCAGGCCTCACTCAAAGACCAGAGGACTTTCACCTGCATGGTGGTGTCAGACGCCAACCTCATGGAGTATCCCGTCTCTGTTGTTGTTTACAGTAAGCTTAACTACAATCTTGAATTTTGCTCCTCCCCTTATTTATTCACCAAGGCTGTCTAAACTTTATTTTTGTAAAAACAACAAAAACAAAAAACCAAAGCGAGCTTTTGGTAAAAGTGTGACATAATAATATTTCTAATCTTTTTGCAACTTTAATTCATGTAAAATCCATGGTAATTCATCCTTTCAAATGTCATTTATGCAACAAGAGTCTAACTGAAAGTCTTGTCTTTTTATGTTTACACTCCCAGACAACACAAACACACCTAGCCAGGTAGTCTGCCTTTACAAAAGTGAACAGGTCATTGTAAAGTGTGCATTAAGTTTGGCTGTTAAAAGGGAGTTTACCTTTCCCACTTTGCCGATGTGCTTATTCATGGGGGATCATGTGACTCTTCAGGTGTTCTTGTTTTCTCTGCATTATTGTAGGGGCTTACCTTACAATAAAAAGCACCACAACTTCTGTTGTGATTTGGCACTATATAAATAAAACTGAAATTAATAAAATTTTTAGCACTCAATAATTAACCCAAACCAATTATATTTGTCAAGCTTACTCAATATATAGCAGCTATAAATTAGCTGTTTCAAATGTGTTATCCACTATGGATTTGGCACTTTTGTGGCTTATGTGCTTAAGGAAATACAGTTTGGAATCAAGATTTCTCTTCCCAAAAGTCCTGATGTATCACCAGCTTATGGGTTTTGCAAATTCAACTGTGAAACAGGGCATAAAGATGGAACAGGAGGCAAATTGCAATTGAATTATATAATATTTTCTATTATATGTGATATAATATAAAATATATGTGGGTGTTGGCTCTCTGCGTTATTGTATCACTTCCTGTTACAATGCACAGTAGTATTTTTGTGTAGCCAATTTAAATTTAGACGTGTATGTAGCATGTTATTTCATAGTGTAATCTTCACATGCTTTATCCAAAGTACATTTTCTGCTGACTCACTCGCTAGTTATATTCACAGTATTCATTCAGTGTGTACTTAGAGATTCACTAGCTTAGCTTAGCGACTCGCTAGTAGCATGGCCTGTTCACCTGCTCAATGTGTCAGATGTTTAGCTACTCCTCGGCCTCCTTTAGTAATAATAATACTTGTAATAAATGTAGCTTGTTTACATCTCTGGAGGCCAGGATAATTGAATTGGAGACCAGGCTCTGCACCTTTGAAATACTCCTAGCTACCTACGTCTGATCAAAACATTACCTACAGACTGAATCAAGATCTGCAGGGCCTTGTTGTACTGCTAATTTGGTCAGAGGGCCCGGTGGCGCCAGTGTCCGGCAGCCTCGCCTCTGTCAGTGCGCCCCAGGGTGGCTGTGGCTACAATGTAGCTGCCATCACCAGTGTGTGAATGTGTGTGTGAATGGGTGGATGACTGGTTGTGTAAAGCGCTTTGGGGTCCTTAGGGACTAGTAAAAGCGCTATACAAATACAGGCCATTAATGTCAGACTTGTGGTTCTGAAATGGGAGACAGAGCCTTCAGCTTTCAGACTCCTCTTTGGGGAATCAGCTCCCAGCTTGGATTTATGAGACAGACACCCTCTCTACTTTTTAAATCAGGCTTAAAATTCCTGGATAAGTGGCCTGATTCAGCGATAAAGCACATAGTTAGGCTGGAACAGGTCCTCCTTTAGTAATGCTGCAATAGACCTGGCTTCTCGGGGCTTTCCATGATAAACTGGGCTTTTTTGTCCTCTCACCCCTTTGGACGCATCATGTGTTTAAACACCACTCTGCATTTAATTAAGGAGTTTTCATTATTCTCTTGCCCTCTTCCACAGCATGTCTTTTGTCCTGTCCTCCTCCCCTCACTCCCAACCAATCATGGGAGATAGCCGTCCCTCCCTGAGCCTGGTTCTGCCTGTTAAAAGGGAGTTTTTACCTCCCGTTGTCTTTTCCCGCCTGTCCCATTTGTTTTTTTTTGCCATCAGAATTGTCTAAAGGCCAAGAAAGATGCCCAACGGATTTACTTTACCAAATGGACCATCCCAGCCTTGCCGTATTGGTCTATTTGATTCACCTTTGTTTCTATTGTTTATTTTATTTTATTTCCACCTGCTACACATGGGACAGACATGGCTGGGGTAAAGGAAAGGGAGAAAGAAAGAGAGGTAGGGAAAGAAAAACAGTGGGGAAGAGGAACAGTGATAAAGGGCAAAAAACAGCAAAACAAACAGACAAAAAATACATATATCAATCACCTGGATCACCTGTTGAGAAAGAAAAAAAAGAAAACAAGCAAAAACAAAAGAGACCAATATAATAAACAACATCATCGCAATAATCTATGTGAATATAAAAGTAAATACTAAATATTGAATATTATTGTGCAGCACGTAAGATTGACAGCGCACAGTGTGCTTTGAGGTAGGAGCCAAAAAGGGTGTAGTTTGTGTCTTTGAGCACCCGTGTGTACACCTGTGAGCATGAGCGCGCTTGTATTCAAAAGGTTCCTTCATGTAATGATCTGCTAGAGGGTGTGGGGAGCCATAGCCCTGTCCTCCTGAAGCAGGTATGGAGGAGATCTGGGCTCCAGACATCCAGAGACCCTCAGAGCACAAGAGACCAAGGAAGACCAACGGAAGGGCAACCGTGCCACTCTCTCAAAAAGAGCTGAGGAAAAAGGAAAAACTACCTCCCGTTGTCACCAAAGTGTTTGCTCATTAGTGGTCGTCTGATTGTTGGGGTTTCTTTGTATTATTTTAGGGTCTTTACTTTACAATATTACGGCAACTTTTGTTGTAATTTGATGCAATCTAAAATTTGAATTTAATTCGAAACCTTGATTTTGTCCTTTTGTGTTTGCAGAGAAGCCATCACCAGTGCGGATTATGGACAAAAGTAAATTATTACAGAAAGACAAATTAACAGCAGTAAGTCTCAGTGTTTGTCCATCAGATGTGTCAGGTTGTTCCATGATGCAGCGTGAATTGCGTATACAGAAATGTTTGCAAAATCTAGTCGAGAGAGAGAGAGAGAGAGAGAGAGAGAGAGAATGCAGAAAGCACAAAAGTCAGTCAATGTCTGTTTTGCCATGAAGGTGACTGTAATGAAGGCAGGTTTTGTTGTTGACAGTCACTGTTAGACTGCTCCTTCTGAAGGCCACGTCTAATTTTGTCACAATGTGGTTTTTACTTGTGAAAGTACTAAGAGCTTGCTTCAGCATTATACATGAAATAGTATCAGCTTAGACAAGTCTTTGTGGTTTATACTAGGCTGAAACGAAGCTTTATAACATCTAAAGCAGTGGCATCATTGTAACATTGTATGTGTAAAATTACATTGTCTGTCTTTACAACAGAGACCTTTCATAAGATTTCTTTTTTCAATTTGAAGTGACTTGCTTCTTTGGTTATCGCTAGGCCAGAATGTGCCTGCTCCGCTCACCTCTGCAAAACCATGTTTCACAGAAACCTGTATTTATAAATACAAGTTTCAAAGCAGCTGCCGTATTCTCCTGAACAATAGCTGTCGTGACTTAGACAATACAGCTACATAAGGGCTAGTATAAGAGGACTATAGTCAAAACTAGAAGCGAAGACTTTGTAGAGTGGTTTTTTTGTTTGTTTGTTTGGTTGGGTTTTTTTTGCAAGTTTTAACAGTTTTAACTGTTTTAACATCTCCCTCTGCATATCTGTATATTCCTGAGCTCTATTATCAGCTGTATTATCATTAAAATGGTAGTAAAAACCGAAACAATTGTATACTCCTGTCTTCAGCCCAGCTGCGGAGGCCGCAGCACAACATGCAAGGTTAAAAAAATCGAGATGTGCACAATTAGCCAACACACCACAAAGATTGTGTTGTGCGACACATGAGACACCAAAATCGGTGTGCAAAGTTTCATGCTACCATCTGCACCTACCCTGCAATGAACACCCCATTCTGCAGGCATTAAGTAGTAATTGTTTTTAAGCCGAGATGAGGAAACTTTCATAGCAGATAGTATAAACAACTGAAGTAGGGGAAAAAAGAAATTCCAAGCAGTATTGAATGTGTACGTTACATAAGATGTGACTAATGAAAGGAAAATAAACTGAATAATAAAAATAATAAAAAATGGAAAACTTGGCCCCTACAATCACACTTTCTGTTGTATATGTATGCTGCATTTTGCTGGTATAGCTTTGGTCCACTTGTCCTTGAAGAGGAAGGGGCACTGCAGCTCAGATATTTTTGTTTATCTAGATAACGTTTAACTTCTAGAAATTATGTAGTTAAAAGTTAGATGTTTTCTTGAACTTAACCATGTTCTACTTTTAGCTCCGACCACCATTATTGCAGCAGTAGGAAGGAAATATATTTTGGAATAATGTCTTTTATGCTTTAAGTAGTGTTCTAAAGAACCAAGTAAATATTTAAATGGTGATTTACTAAGGGAGAAACACTACCCAAACCTAACTGCCACTCAGTTAGGTTTGGGTATGAATAAAAATCATGAATAAACTACGATTAACCACAGTTTTTGTTGTTTTGTTTTTTAAAAGCTGAGTTCAGCAACTTACAACTTTTCTGACAAATTTAAGTAAATTAAAAGATCAATCTCAATCTAAAGAAACCTCTGATAACAAAGTTATTAACATTTATCAGTTTGGAAAGGGTTACAAAGCCATTTCTAAGGCTTTGTGACTCCAGTAAACCACAGAGATTATTATTTACAATGGGGAAACCTAGAACGCTGGTGAATCTTCCCAGGAGTGGCTGTGTGATGAATCACATCCACTCCTAAGAAGTCAGAAAGGTCAATCAGAGAGTCCAAGTAAATGTCAGCAGTTGTTAAAATTGCTGTACTTGACATATGACATATCTGTGGGATGTTAATGATCTAAAACCTTTAAGTGTGACAAAAATGCAAGTTGGTGTATAATTGTTTATGTTTTGTTTTCTTTCATTTTTAGGTTGGAACATGTGTTGTGGCAGAAGCAAACCCTCCAGCCACTATCAAGTGGAGAAAAAATGGACAACTTTTGAAAGATGATCAAAAATGTAATGCATTTCTTCCCTTACGGTCACCTGTAAACTATCCAGTTACACTGGGGAAGTTGCTGTCATAGAAACCCCTTTTAGAGGGCATCATATTTATTCAAGAGAATAGCTAAAACGACATATGATAAAATTCATTGCTTACTTGTCAGAAGGAACACAGTAATACATTATAATTATTACATAAATGTTACATAATTTCCTTAGGGATTAATAAAGTATTCTGATTCTGATTAATAGGAAAGTCCTTGACTTTCATTGTCTAAATCAAAGCAATGTTGGAATAGTAACAGCTGACGAAATCTGTGTGTCTTTGACTGTTTGTCTGTCTGTCTGTCTGTCTGTGTGGGTATGTACATGTGTCTGGTGTGGTTGTCATCTTGCCTTTCCAGCTGTTGTGATCACTAACCACTTGAAGCTGGATCCTGACACAGGCCTATCCACCATGCTCTCCACCCTCCAATATGCAGCCACCAAAGAGGATGCTGATGCAATCTTTGCCTGTGAAGCCACACACACACTGATTAATCAGGAGACTGAGCTGGAACCTTTTCCCATTCACTGTGAGTGAAAGGCAGTGCTGACATCTGTCTGTATCACTGTACTACAACTATATGAAATCTGTTTTTTCCATCTTCTCATATAGAGCTACATTGCCACAAAGTAATTTTAATACTTGTATGCTTAAGGTTTTTAGGAAATAAATGGCTAAAATGCTTTCATTGCTGTTAGATAAGATCCAATGAAAATTTTGGAAGAAATTCCGTAGTGTGTAAAACTGCATGCTTCAACTCATGCACCATGTTTTTTAAGAGATTCCCTTCAAAGGTGTGGAACAGGGGCTCTCTCACTGCAGCAAACCAAACTGTGAATTTTAAAATCTGACAAGAGGAAATGTAAAATTCTTTGCATTTCAGGGACGTTTTCTGTCTTAATATTTTTTTTTATTATATACACTACCAGTCAAAAGTTTTAGAACACCAATTCTTTCCAGTTATTTATCACAATGCAAGGCGATTAAGTCCAATGAATAGCTTAAAATGGTAAAAAAGGTAAGTAGAGAACTGCCAGAGGATAAAAAAATACATTATTTATTATTTAAAATAATAGTTATATAATAGTATAATATAATGTAATAGTGGTCGTAGTAAGCAAGTCTCAGTTTCAACTGTGAAGAGAAGACTTCGACCTGCAGGTTTGACTGGACGAGTTACAGCAAGAAAGCCATTGCTAAGACATCAGAATAAGACAAAGAGACTTGCCTGGGCCATGAAACACCACCATTGGACTACTGAAGACTGGAAGAAGGTATTATGGACCGATGAATCAAAATTTAAAATCTTCGGTTCATCATGCAGGATCTTTGTACACCTTCGAATAGGTGAAAGGACTGTCAAACTGTCAAACATGGAGAAGGAAGTGTGATGGTCTGGGGCTGTTTTCCTGGATCCAGGTTCAGTGACTTGTACAGAGTGAGAGGCACCCTGAACTAAAACAGCTACCACAGCATTATGCAGTGCCATGAAATACCCTCTGGTATGCACCTAGTTGGTCAGCGGTTCATCCTACAGCAAGATAATGACCCAAAACGTAAGTCCAAGCTATGCCAGAACTACCTCAGGAAAACAAACCAGATGGTAAGCTTGAAAACATGGAGCGACCAGCACAGTCTACAGACTTAAACCCCATCAAGCTAGTTTGGGATGAACTGGACAGAAGGGTGAAAGCACAGCAACCTACAAGTGCCACACATTTATGGGAATGTCTGCAACAGATATGGAAAGAACTTTCTGAAGAATATTTGATTCTATTGTAGAAAGAATGCCACTGGTCTGTTCAACTGTTATATGTGCCAAAGGTGGCTACTTTTATGACTCCAAAGTTAGAATATATTTTGGTCTATAAATTGATTCCATGATTTCTTTTTCCACTGAATTTGTTTAGTTTTACTATGCTTTCATTTCACCGTGCAATGAGACATTAAACTGCATAATAAAAATTAAAAAAAATTGGAAAAAATGGGGTTTTCTAAAACTTTTGACCAGTGTATAGCTGCCATGTTCAATTTACTTTCAGTTTAGCCACAGATTAATCCTAATTACTGCATTTCTCACCTCTCCTGTCTTTTCTGTTACTGGAATGTTAGATTAGATGGAAGGGGGTTGTTGGATAATTAAGTCCTTGCTGGGACTACATCATGGGAGAATTTTATATTTGTGAATTGCTTTCAGTTCATACCTATCGCTCAGTAGATAAAGTACTGATCAGTCATGTAATAATAATAATAATAATAATAATAATAATAATAATAATAATAATAATTATTTTATTTTATACCAATTAAATGAGTTGAGCCAGTTTGAGAGTTATCTATTCGTCAGTTGGAGGTGTCTTTGAATAATATTTCATATTTACAGATCCATCGGAGCAGGTTACTCTCCAGATTATGTCACAGCCGTCCATAATAGAAGGAGATAATGTGACACTAAAGTGTACTGCTGATGGCAACCCTCCACCTAGATCCTTCTTTTTTCACATTAAGGTGAGCCAGATCCCATTGTTTATCTTGCAGATGAGTAAAAATGTTTCTTGATCCACCAAACGGTCAAAAGAGACTTGGCACTTATGTTCACGTAGAACACAAGATTTTCAGGTTTTGGTGGTCAGAGGACCTCCCAAAATGTGATGATCTCAGGTGGAGTTTTGGTTAGATCATTTTTTGACCACATGTAATAACTGATGATGCCACATTATTTACCCACCTGATAAATTCAAATTTAGTTGAGTTTTTACTGGTGTTATAAAAATCTTGACAGACATAAATATAAACTGCAGCTTGACTGGTTGACATATATTGTACTTAATGCATGCTTAATATGCAGTCACTGACCACTTTATCACATCTGTTCAGCTACTTATTAAGACTAATAACTAATCAGCTAATTTTACAGCAGCAACCTAATGTATTTAAGCATGTAGTTATGATCAAGATGACTTGCTCATGTTTAAACTGAGCGTCAACATGGGGAAGAAAGATGGTTAAAAAGTGTCCTTGAATGTGGCGTTTGATGGTGCCAAAAAGGCTGGTCTAAGTAGTTCAGCAGCACTGTAATTTTCCCACAAAGCCATCTCTAGAATTTACAGAGGATGGTCTAAAAAAGAGAAAGTATACAGTGAGCAACAAATAGCAGCAAATGTCTGTGTGAAGATTCTATGTTGATACCACAGGTTAGAGGATGACCAGAATGCTTCAAGCTGATTGAAGGCAACAGAAACTCAAATAACCACTTATTGTAACCAATGTGCAATGCAAAAGAGCATTTCTGAAAGTGCAACACTACAAACCTTGAAACAGAACAGTATCAACTGTTCAGGCTAGTTGTGTTGGCATAATAGGGGGATATTGTCTTGGTACACTTTTGGCCCCTTAATAGCAAATTGAGCATATTTCAAATGCCACAGCCTAGTTGAGTATTTTTGCACACTATGGCCATTCCTTTATGATGATTAAGGCTTTTCTGTGGTCCAACCTGATACTGTCAAGGTCCAACTAATGAAGTGCCCCGTGAGTGAATGTGGTACTTCTAGTTATTATTGTCTTTTTGTCTGTTTTTTTTAATGGTATTTCTCTTAACTCCTGCTCTTCACCAGGGCACGAAAGTGCTGGTTGAAAATTCGGACAAGTACACTGTAACTGCCATCAACAGAAAGGATACGGGTGAATACAAATGCTCACTGGTTGACAACGAGAAAGTGGAGGCCTCCCAGAACATTGTTGTTAGTTGTGAGTACTTATGAATGACATAACCAGAGCTAAAGCATACTATAACATAACAAAGGACCAAGGACAAATGACTGTGGCCGAACAAACAAAATATAATGTTTCCCACCTGGAGTGAACATTTTTTAATTCCTGTTTATAACAAGGCACTTTGTTTACTGATGCTTTTGGGTTGTGTTTTTTTTTTAAATATGTTTCCAGCTAAAATAATATCCATAAATTTAAAATATTCAGAGGTACAAATTAGCTTAATCTACAGACATACTTAATCATCACTGATTAATTACACTGAATGAGTATGAATATGTTATTCTAGTGTTATTATTGTATCATTATTATTATCATATTATTACACCACACACCCAGCCATCCATGTGATGCAAAAGAAAATATGAATCATCAGATCTGGCCACCTTCTTCCTTTGCTCCATTGTCCATTTCTGATGCTCACGTGCCCGTTGTTGGTGCTTTAGGCGGTGGACATAACCCTAACTGGTTTAGAACCAGAATTAAGTTTTTCAGCAGTTTGGGCTATAGTAGCTTGTCTGCTGGACAAGGTGTAAAAACAGCCACAGCTGAAGTTTAGGTGCTGTTTTAACATTGTCCTCTATGGGCAAGGTGGATGGGGGAGGCTGTGCTTCGGTGACATTTCTTAGAGAGAACCATAAATCTTATCTCAGTGAGGATGACACTGGATGAAAGAGGACAATAGTTTTTCAGACTACTCTCCAGCCTCAGTCTTTACAGTTGGTAATGTCAACATGCAGTAGTGGGAACATTCAATGAAAAATCTAATTCTTCATAAACTTAAACTGTTACTGTTTGAAAACCGTAAAAGATATCAAAACACAGAGTAATACCTGAAAAGTTAAAGGTCTTGGGGCCCATTAAAAGTTTTGCGTTTTTCTCTAGCTCAAAGTATGCTGAAGTAGTTAAGTTTCAATGTAGGGTGGGTTTGAAGAGGATTTATTTAAAAAAAAAAAATCATAAGAAGTTTAAAAGTTACAAAAAAAAGTAATAGCACACCTCACCAGAGGAAGCTGAACATTTTGGTATCAGAACCTTTTTTGTAGCACAAAGTATGTGGAAGTAGTTAAGTGCCAAAAATGTGCAGCAGGATAACAATCATGTGAATGCTTAAGAGAAAGTTGGCAAATGGCGACACGGTGAATGAATACTATGAATATAATTAGAAGGTGAATCAATAGAGAGCGTGCTTTGGATAGCACAGGATGATTACACTGTGAAATAGACGTCATCTATAAGTTTTCAGAAAACAGGTAACAGGAACAGAAAATGACACTTTACCGCAGTGAGAGCCAACACACTGAATCAATGGCAGTTTTTTCCTTTGGCCTAAAACGGCCAAAATGAATGAAACACTGTGCTATCACACTAAAGAACAACAAGTGCTATACCGTGATAAAACAATAAATAAACAGTAAAGAAATAAATTTTTAAAAATTAACAGAATTGAACTTACTTGACTCTTTTTTTTCTGTTGTATGTGTTGCCAGACCTGGACCTAAATCTGAGTCCCACTGGAGAGGTTGTGAAGAACGTTGGGGAAACCCTGTCTGTGAAGATAGAGAAGAGTACCTCAGGTGATGCTAAAGAGTTATGGAAAAAGGTAAGGACTGTGTGAATACATTGTTTTTCAGAAAAGAGGCATTTAAAATATTAAAGTAAATGAAATTGTTTGCAAGAAAAGAAGACATTTTCTAACTGCGTCTTTGTGTAATATGGCTGTATAAACTCCATGTTAGCTTCATGATATTGAATTTCCACTTAAGCTAACATTCCTGTGACCTTGAACAAGAGCAGTGGCTAAAGAGTAGAGAACTATTTGATATCATCTGATTTACATATCTATTACCTGTCCTTGGTAGGGCCACATGCAAAGGCAGCTGAATAAGTAAAACTTAACCAAATTTGGTGATAAGCAAATGTATATTTTGCTGTTTCACTTACATTAGAGTTAAAGGTCCAGATTATTAAAACATTGACTGTATGTGATGCTGCTTTGCAGAATGGAAAGATGGTGAAGAGACCAGAGTTTAGTAATTTGACCTTTGGCGATGCTGGAGACTACATCTGTGAAGTTTCACTGACTGGTCTGACACGACGTCAGAGCTTTCAACTAGTCATAGAAGGTGAGGAAGAATGCAGTCTTCACACACATTGATACTTGGCAGGACCACTTGGCTTCATATTTTAATACACAATACTGGGGTCGCTGTAGCTCAGGTAGTAGAGCAGGTCACCTACTAAATGGAGGGTTGGTGGTTCGATCCCAGTCTACTGTTGATGTTATTGTCACTGAACTTATAGCTTTGAGGCTTCTTTCATAAATTCTCTTGAACTTTATACCCGATGCACCTTCACTGTAAGATTTACAAGGGCATAACAACTCAACAATGTTTAGTTTGGTTGTCTGAAAAAAAAAAACTATATGTTGTAATATTTTGTAAATTCAATTATGTTGCATGGTCTGATGCCAAAGATAATAATGTAAAAAAGAAAAATAATGTGTTTGTATCAGGAAAGCCTCGGATCACCAACCTTACTAAATATCGTGCTGCTGATGGCAAAGACACAGTCCTAACCTGTGAAGCTGAAGGAGTACCAAAACCCCAGTTCCAGTGGAGCGTCAATAACCCAATAAAGGTAAGTGTTGTCATCGTGTTTTAGTACCTTAAACACATGTCCAGTTAGACAATGGAGAGAGTATCAAAGGGTGGGTCGATCCCTGGCTGCTCCAGTTTATGCAGCTGTAAGATAAAAGGAATAGAAAAGTAGCTTGTATGAACTCCTACCAGAATGATTTTGCTCGATGGGTTTACTGTCAGATTTATTTACAACAGCTTTTGCTGCACAAAGTGCTTTACAAACTAAAAAGGAACTAAATAAGGCACATGCATGACAATGATACAATAAAAATATAAGATCGAAAGAAAAATACAATAAGATAATAAAAACAACTAGAAAGCGAAAATTTCTGAAGAAATTTTAAGTGTGCCTATGCCGCCGCTAATCAGTATAGTTTGCCATTCAAACGGCTACAGAGAGCAAAACTCAGCAGAGCAGCCATTCTCCACCATTAACTATGGTAAAACCAAACACCGCTCGCGCCTCACAGATGACAGCTTACAGTTTTGTGTAAAGATGAGGTGACTTCGTACAGCCCCAATTTGTAGACGCTGTGCGCAGAGGTTCATAAGCAGACCCGACAATGTTTGCATGAACACACTTTGAAGCATTACGTTATGGACCACTTTTCACACATAGTTGCTGTACCCACACAGCCGGCTGTAGCTTTTCATCTCACAGCCCGACACATACAAAAAAAAAAAAAGCAGAGAGAGCACAGACTTTACACCTGAGAGGCGTGATTGCAGATGCCGCTGAGGTGGGTCCACCTCCCCTGCAGCGGCACTGCAGACCACGCCCTGCCACACACATCAAACACGTAAAATAAATATTTATGCACTTTTCATTCACTTTTTGTTTTTTGTTATTTTTACACAGTGTTCTGAATGATTAACAATGGTCTACAGCCAATCTTGTGTATTATTATACAAACGTTGGTTGTAAGATTCAGATAACTATTTAATAAAAGCTAAATATTTTATATGAGAGTAAGAAAGAAAAGTATATCTTTGTCTCATACTCTCATCAGACAATACATGAACCTCTCAATAAACAAAATATATGCTCGGCTTAAATGACAAACCGCTATTTTACACAGTGGAACACTTATTTTTAAACAAAACCAATGCAGTTCGCCACTGACAGTGCTTACCTTTGCACATCACAGTAAACACTGAACCAAGATGGCGCCCACGCGAACGAGAAATCTGAACTATGGTGTCCTGCAGAGGACAAATGGTCAAAATTGCTAAAATTTACAACATATATGCAGCTCAACAGCGACACCTTGTGACTTATTCCAGCTTCACATAGCTCGAATCAGTTCCGACACTCATCTGATCAAGCATAAAGTCCGCAGCAACAAGGTCAATGAGACAGGTGCAGACAGGTGCGGGTGGGTGAGCCACCCAGCGGCACACGCTGGGCAGCAGCGGCTGCCAGTGCGCCATGCGTGAAAGCTAGTGGGATAGTCACCGGCTGTTGAGTCGCCCAGCAGTACGCAGTGCGCTAGCAGTACTGTAGTTACTTGATAGGACTCGATAAGCAGTTTGATACACCCACCTGCTAAAAGGGGCTGTATAGTTCATCAGTAACTTAGCAGTGTAAAAACTGCGTCTACTCCGCTACGTTATGAACTTAGAACGAAAATATAACCTAAACTGTTATATCTGACCATGAGGCAAACGTTACGAAATTCAGTTCACACCGTTCTGCATGGTTTCCATCACGATTGAGCCGAGCCACCGTGATCGCTTCCGCATACAGGGAGAGCATATCGGTGAAGGATAGAGCCACCGGTAACAACTCATTTCCACAGACCACTATGAGCTAGCTAGCGACGTAGGAGCACAACATATCGTTCATTGATTTGACAAACGACAGAATTTGCGTTACACACTCTTCATGTATCTTAAAGTTTACTGTACTAGAACAATAAGGGTACAAGATGAACCACAAATTAGTGTGCAAACACACAAAGTGTTAGCATTTCGTGTTCCCATATGAGGCAAAAACTTGCATTAAAATATTCATACTTAAAAAACTATACAAGTAATAAACACCAAAAGTCATAGCTACTCATTCCTGATCCAGCCGCACAAAATGATATAACATTATGAAGCTTGTGTCAAAACTGTGGGATGAGTTACGGTCCAAAATTTCAGGCGGAAAAAGGAAAATAATAATATATAAACCGAATAGTAAAAGTTCTTGATAGAACTTATAATTCTGAAGAAATTTTAAGTGTGCCTATGCCGCCGCTAATCAGTATAGTTTGCCATTCAAACGGCTACAGAGAGCAAAACTCAGCAGAGCAGCCATTCTCCACCATAACTATGGTAAAACCAAACACCGCTCGCGCCTCACAGATGACAGCTTACAGTTTTGTGTAAAGATGAGGTGACTTCGTACAGCCCCAATTTGTAGACGCTGTGCGCAGAGGTTCATAAGCAGACCCGACAATGTTTGCATGAACACACTTTGAAGCATTACGTTATGGACCACTTTTCACACATAGTTGCTGTACCCACACAGCCGGCTGTAGCTTTTCATCTCACAGCCCGACACATACACAAAAAAAAAAAAAAAAAAAGCAGAGAGAGCACAGACTTTACACCTGAGAGGCGTGATTGCAGATGCCGCTGAGGTGGGTCCACCTCCCCTGCAGCGGCACTGCAGACCACGCCCTGCCACACACATCAAACACGTAAAATAAATATTTATGCACTTTTCATTCACTTTTTGTTTTTTGTTATTTTTACACAGTGTTCTGAATGATTAACAATGGTCTACAGCCAATCTTGTGTATTATTATACAAACGTTTGGTTGTAAGATTCAGATAACTATTTAATAAAAGCTAAATATTTTATATGAGAGTAAGAAAGAAAAGTATATCTTTGTCTCATACTCTCATCAGACAATACATGAACCTCTCAATAAACAAAATATATGCTCGGCTTAAATGACAAACCGCTATTTTACACAGTGGAACACTTATTTTTAAACAAAACCAATGCAGTTCGCCACTGACAGTGCTTACCTTTGCACATCACAGTAAACACTGAACCAAGATGGCGCCCACGCGAACGAGAAATCTGAACTATGGTGTCCTGCAGAGGACAAATGGTCAAAATTGCTAAAATTTACAACATATATGCAGCTCAACAGCGACACCTTGTGACTTATTCCAGATCTATATCGTCACTGTCAGTCACCGACACTATACGAATCACCATATAAGTCCGAGCACCAATCATCAGAAGCAGACACGACAGCTGACGCTGGGTGCAGCACAGCCGGAGCCAGCCCTGCACCAACCCTAGCCGCTGCCTGCGGTGAAGAGCTAGCGCTGGGTATAGTAGCGCTGGGTTCGCCAGTCGTACACAGCTATCGCTAGCAGACATGAGATATTTTGATAATGGCTTGATAACGACAGATATAGTTCACCACATCTGCCTAATAAGCTCATAAATTCAACATCAAACTCGCGTGATAAAACTCCGCGTCAGTACCGTACATTATAACTAGCACACAATACTACTAACTCGTTTATAGCCATAGATGCGAAACGTCAGAAACAGTTCACAGCCCTTCTGCATGGTTTCTTATAGAGAGCTCTTACACCATCACTGTCTTCCCGCAACGAGGGGATATACGTAACGGTAGCAGCCACAAACAACTCAGTATTTCCACATAAATATGCCGAGTAGCTAGCGGCGAACTAGTAGGCAGCAGAACATTAACGCTAATAGTGACACACAATATTGACGTTACACACCACTCTCCCGAAATATCTAAGTTTCTTGTGACTGAAAATAAGGATCCTGTGGCCAAAACCAATTAAGTTGCAAACACACCCGTTAATTCATTTCGTTTTCCCATATGAGGCAAAAACTTGCATTAAAATATTCATACTTAAAAAACTATACAAGTAATAAACACCAAAAGTCATAGCTACTCATTCCTGATCCAGCCGCACAAAATGATATAACATTTATGAAGCTTGTGTCAAAACTGTGGGATGAGTTACGGTCCAAAATTTCAGGCGGAAAAAGGAAAATAATAATAATAAATCCGAGCAATAGTAATAAGTGTGCCTTTTGGCATAGGCACACTTAACTAAGAACAACAATGACTCGAGGCTATTAAAGCAAACAAAACATTGTTCAAGTAACATGTGCTAGAGGCCAGTCCAAAAAAATGTGTCTTCAGTAGAGATTTAAAATTTTCCGGTGTTTGTGAGTCTGGGACCTGCCACAGAGAAGTCTCTGTTGCTACAAGATTTAAGTTTAGACCTTGAAGTGGATAACATGTAGTCGAAACACGTTCAGAGACATTAGTTGGAAGGTATGGCTTTACCTTGGCTAGCTGTCTGAGATGGGTAAAGCTACTTGACTAGTGACTACTGAACTCAACTGCCTACACAGTTTAAAGGAACCATGAAAGTACACATCAAGGTTTTTAACATTTGTCTTACAATGAGCAGATAAAGGGCCCAGAGTACTGTCGATATTTACTAACAGAGATGCCAAAAATAACCATTTCTGTTTGGTTTTCATTTAGTTTTAAAAGATTTAAGGACATCCACTGTTTAGCGTCTTTAAGGCAATTAGTCTCTTCAAGTCATCTGCAAAACAGTAAAATAAAAGGTTATACTATGAAAAAATAGACCCCAGTGACAACATACCAAACAAACAAGGCTGGACCCAAAATTGACCCTTAATTCACCCATAATTAAGAGGGGCTTTTTTTGAGCCATGTTCATATAAAAGGTCCTTCCAAATAAGTATGACTGAAACAACTGAAGAACAGATCCTTTAAGGAGGATATCATGGTCAACTGTGTCAAAGGCTGCTGCCAGGTCCAACCACAAGAGGGCAGCAGGTCTGCCAGAACCCACAGTTAATAGAATATCATTAAAAACCCCTAAAAGTGCTTTCTCAGTGCCGTGTAGTAATCTAAAACCAGATTGAAAAATTTCAGAGATCCCATTAAGCCTGCAACTGTGAGTAGACCAATTTCTCTAAAACATTTGAAAGAAAGGGGTGCTTTGAAATTGGCCTGTAGTTAGCCAGAACAGTTGGGCCCAGACTGTGTTTTTTTTTTTAAAAGGGGCTCACCTATAGCGTCTTTAAAACATGATAGGGAACAACCTGTAACAAGGCCAGTGTTAATTAATCTCTGGATATAAAGGCCAGTAATATCAAAAATATTTTTAGTACACTTAAAAATTAATTTAAAATATCAGAAAATCCTTGATGCTTTCACAGCTTAAGTTAATTATCCCAGGATCAAGAAATGCGACACAAAATTGACACACTATTAAACCATTAGGTGCTCGTCTTTTAGGTGCTGATCAAACTTAAGAAAAGTTCTGGTCATAAAATCTGAAAACTCTTGGATAAAGTGCTTATAATTGTGCAAAGGCGCAGGACTATTCAGGTGTAGCTCAAAAAGCTGGATTTCGAAACTTGAGAATGAATAATCCTGCACTGCTTTATGGCAACTGAAATGGGTGTTGAACACTATAGCTAAACCAGCACCACTAGGTCTGAGGGAGGCTGAAGAATGAGCTGGAGGAAGAAAAAGCAACAGACTTGTCACGTAGAAGCCAAGTTTCTGTCAAAAATGGAAAATCCAGCTGCTGCGACTTTAAGTCATTTAATACAAACATCTTGTTTGCTGGTGAGCTAGCATTTAATAGAGCCGGGAAGGGTGCAGACGTTAAAGTATGAGCAAGGGTGCGAAGATTTGTGGGATACATGCTACGTCCAGAGGACCGAAGCTGCTTAGGAAAACGCGACACAAAAGTGACACACTATTAAATCGTAGTGTGGACCAGCTGATCCAATGGCGTGGGATCTCTAGGGGCAACAGGCAGAATCCATCTAATAGTGTACTCATCTGGTCTAGTTCCATAAGAAGCACAGAGATGAGCCCTGATTCTGGCGAGTGTACTAGCCAGCTTTTCCCGTTTCCTTGGGTGCTTCTTCCAGTGTGTAGCATAAGGACATGAGGATCCTAGGACATTTTGAGATATTATATATTGAAAGGAAGAGAACTAACATCATGACACCATTATGTAACTGACAAAGAACATAGAAAATATCCTGTAGAATAGTTAAGCCAATACAATGTGTGTCCTGTGTGCCTTCAGGAGGAGAGCTCCTACATCAATGGCAAAGTGATTCATAAAATCACCATAGTCCCCAAGGAGAACTTGACTATCACTTGCACTGTCAGTAACCGCCTGGGACAACATGCCGAGACAATCAGCGTTTCCTCTGGTAAGTTAATGCTGTGAACTACTTAGTTGGTTGGCTTTATTTTATACAGACGTGAGGAGTGAGAGAGGTGTGATAATTCTGTGCAGTGGATAACTAAAGTCAAACAGGTTTGAACAGACATCTTCTCAATATCTTTTAAATTCCAGTACTGTAATGCTGCTTGAAGAGAATCTATCAGTCTGTACTAGCCTAATTAGGCAGCATTTATAATCCAATACCAGCTAAAATTCAAGCTGGTCCTGATCTCTTACTGATGTGTGATGTGCTTCTTAATCAAAAGTAGTGTATTTCAATCTATACCTTTGTAATGAATACAAGACATCAGATTTAATGTTCTTATTGTTTAATTATGAAGCTATATCTATATACAAGAAATAAAAGACCTGAAAAGTCAATAGATATATTCAAGAAAATATTCGATTAACAATCAAAAGCAAATATGATTGATTGGAAAATATTAATACAGCTGCAAAACATTCTACAGTTTTGTTATCTATCTTATGCATTAAATATTTAAAGTTGTATTTTTATTTGCACCACCCATGTCCTTCAATGTGAAACTTTAATGTTTTCCTTTCTTTGAGAGTATGGTCAATTCCTTTATTTAAATGTAAATTTCTACAAGTTATTTAGATCTGTTATCAACCGTAGTTATTTGCTGATTTAAACTACTACAGAATGTGTTTATATAAAACTTGCACTTACAATTAGTGGAAAAATCTTTGATTTCCTATTCTGAGACTACATTTGGCCAGCCCTGTCTCCGTTTACATCAGTGCAGAATTTTGTTTGGCTTTAAGAAGAGTGTTTAGACAAATGGTGTTGGTCTGTTTTATTTAATTTCTTTTCTTTATTTAGTTCTGATATATTCATTTTTCATTTCAGTTTTTAAGGAGGAAAATAAAGGAAGAGGTAAGTGATTTTGATTTTCTGTGCTATTACCTAATTTGACTTTCTTGAAATACATAAGAAATTATACATAATTGCAAGTTTAACTGCTCAATGTGGGTTCTGTGATTAAGCCTGGGCATGGGAACCATGCCCAGGCTTAATCATCCAATTTAGGGTCAAGGGGGTCCTTGTCACATGTATTATAGGGCAAATGGTAAACAGGTGTCCAGTCAATCACAGAAAGAGAGACAACCATTCATGCCTATGGCCAGTTTATAATAGCAAATTAACTATCCCATCGCTTTTGGCTATGGCAGAAGGATTTGAATTCAGGGCCTACATGCTATGTGGCAACAGTGCTAACTGCTGCAGTGCTAACTACTGCACTGTGTTGCTGGTTATATTATAAGATGCCTATTCTTTTCTATTCATTATTCCCTTAATATATAATGCATCTTTAGGCTTTAGTGCTTTGGTGTTATGAAATGCAACATTCCACTGTGCACTGCCATTATTGCCGTCTTGCAATCTAAACAGATTGTTTCATGTCACTAAAGTAAATGTGAACAAATCTCAGAATTCTAAGCATTGCATAAAACAGTAGACCTATCTGATAAAATTGCATTGCTTGAGCAAAGAGGATCTCTGTAGTTCAAGAATCATTGTGAATATGCTAAAGAAGACACATTATGTAGTTTTATCACAGCTCAACTTGTTTGTGTGTGCATGTGAGCGTATGTGTGGGCATATGATAATTTTAAGCTGAAGCTGTTTGGTGCTGTGTTTACAGGATCTCGAGAAGATCGGGACCAAGCAAAGCTCATAGGGGGTGTTGTGGCAGGGCTCGTCCTAGTTGGTATTACAGTGGGACTCATCTGCTGGCTCTGCAGTAAGAAATCAAGGTATTGCCCACAGTGCAGTGACTCACAGGGCAGGGTCAAAGTCATTCTGTAGGTGCATCATAATTTTATATTCCTATTTTCACCACAGACAAGGAACCTGGAAAACCAAGGAGGAAATAAATAGATCTCATGAAAATGAGAAACTAACGCCCATTGACTGTGTTTAAAAGGCACTAGCTGAAGAGGTAAGCATTTGGTTGTGGAAAGCACATGTGCAGTCAGTTTTAAAGGTAAATGGTTAAATTAAAACCTAGTACAATTCCATTCCATGTCTCATTTCTTTAGGTTTCTCTAAGTTTGGCCATCTGCCCTATCATTTTATCTTAGGAGGTGGATGATGGACAAATAGCTTTTGAAAATTTCCCAAGCTAAACTGAGCAAGGAATTTTAAACATGCTTTTGCAAACACCCTAGTTTTATTTTGGATGCTTGCATATTTTACTTTTCATGAAAGCGAGAAACTACCAGGGTCAAAATTATTAGCCTCCCTTATGTTCATAGCTACGTCCTTTCTGACTGCTAACACCGTGCAGTCATTTGCAGTTTTCACCAAGTCTCACACATGTCTCCTGAGCAATCCCAGGCTGTTCTGCTTTGAATTTCTCAAGCTCCTCCACATTTGATGTTCTTACATAGCGGACCTTGGTTCAGAGTTTTAATGGGATTCAAGTAGCAGCTTTGTGCAGGCAGACAGAAACATTCGCTTTGGTCTTCTGGATGTAGTTCTTCAGTAGGAGCGACGTACGTTTTCAGTCGTTGTTGTGTTAGAAAAAAACCAATGACCAGGACCCAGTTTTGCTACTAACTGCTTTAGGTTTCTTTCAAAATTTTAACATATCCCTCTCTCTTGAAAAATGAGATTTTCAATCTCAATGAGATTTTTTTACTTAGATAAATAAAGGACTAATAAAATAAAAATTCCCAGTGATTCCTTCCACCTTTAATAAGATTAGCAGTTTTGTTTACATTATCAAGGACAAAGGATTGCAGATCCACTGCACAGCCAACTCTATTGAGAACTATGTGCTTGCTATGTGGTCTTGTATACATGTTCAGAGGTTTATATGTGAAGACCTATTCACACGGGTTAGTTGCTGTATCCCACCCTCCCAAGGTGTGTGTCATAGGTAACATAAGTGAATTAGATATGGAATAAAATACATCATATATATAGTCCTTACTGTCTTTTGCATCGCTAGAACTGGGAAAAAAAGATAAACTTTACAAATGAACTTACAGACTACTTTAATAGTACAGTTTAGAGTCAAATATTCAGTCTGTTACTGTTCTTATTGTCTTTCCTTAGGGATTAATAAATTAACCTGATTGCCTGTTCTGATTGGAGAAACACATTGGAGAAAATATCTGCTTCCTCAAAAACAATTAATCCCTAAGGACATTATGTGGTTACAGTGTCTTCAAGAAAATTAGACTGCATTAAATTAAATAATACAATATATTACAAAGTTATGAGAAATAGCTCTAATGTATACAAATAGCTCAATTATAAATATCCAGAAAATTACAAAGATATATATATATGTCAATTAATATAGATTGACATTTTATTTTCTTATTTTCACTGTAAATAAAACACATGTAACTATTGCACTGTGTACTATGAATTAGATGGAGTAGTAGATTTGGGTAATCTCAGTCTCTCATTGAACATGCTCCTCTCTGACACTGCCTTAAGGGAGTCTGGAGAGACAAATGTTGCAGGTTTTTATTGCTGGACATGGTGCTTACTGGGTCCAAGGCAGCTACCTGGGCATGGTTGCTGGCCTGCTTCCTTTAGGGTTGTGGCCTGCGGTGCCCTCTTCGTGTTGCACTGGGGGCTCATTTAAAATAAATAAATAAATAAAGTTGCATTATTTACAATACATACTGAAAAATAACTAATCTAGGTCTTCTAGATGCAGAAAACGTGGTCACACAACAATACACAGTGCATATATCACAGCAGTGGCTTGTGCTATGGCTCAATAACATTTTTTTTAATCTGGAAGGATTAATCATACTGACCTTAGTAATTTCTTTTCTAAAATAATGCTGCTGCTGTTGTGTGCCAATAGAAATACTTTCTTTTCTCAAGAAACTATTATTTTTAGAATTGCTATGTTGGTATGTTTGTAGTTTAGATCTTGGTTCTAAATGTTTTTCTGACTGCTGAGTAGTTACAAAAAAAAGAGACTGAATTGATCAGGAGCGTTTGAATATTTGTTTGCTTTCAGAGGTTAGATCTGATTCAGCAAAACAAAATAGTTATATAAATCTGGATTTGCTGAATCAGACCTCAGTCCATCCTTGTGATATATTAAATTCAATTCAGTTTAAGTACTAACTAAAATAAATTGATATAATATTAAATAGATATTTAATATTCCATGTAAAAATATTACATTCACATGAGTAAGCACTTTTGCAAAAGTGGGAAGGAAAAACTCCCTTTTAACAAGAAGGCATCTCTGGCAGAACCAGGCTCATGGAGGGGCGGACTGCCATGATTGGTTGTGTCTCATATTGGAACTTCTGGTTTAGATAGCTCTACGTCTGTGAATCATTGTCCACGATAGGGATTTAAATCAAATCCGTTCACTGTTGTGCTCTCTAAGACTGTGAGTTTGGAAAAAGTGTTGGTAGCATTAGCATCCTCCTGTGCCTAAGTGAGAAAGAGTGACAGGAAAGCTGCAGTAAAGAAATGATGTCTTACTGTTGTCTGTGTAAATCGGTTGGATATTCTTCTGTCAACTAAGCTTCTGTGTGTAAGCTTCTACTTTTTTTTTTGTGGATCTGTGCAGACAAATATAAATTTTGATGTACCTCTACATCATTTGCAGTCATCATTACTAAAATACATGTTCATCATATTTCAGTTTTGGCTGGCTTGACACGTTTCTCCCATTACTTTAGGTTATTGCTGCACGACACTACCAACTGGTCATCTGCTGTGAGCTTGAAACTTTGTTTATACTATAAAACTATTTGTTTCTACCTACTTTTGTTTGAACAATTGAATTCTGACAACCAGCCCAACACCAACAGAACACCTGTTGGTGTCCTTCTGCTCTATGGATTTCTCCTTTGGTTGCTACCTACCCATAAATGGTTTCAGAAGGATTACACTAAAGAGACCCGCTACAATCGACTAGCTCTGGATCTTTTTCAGCTCAGCCAGAAAATAGCCACGCTGGAAAGTTGGATTTCCATCCTTCACCAAAGATGGGAGAATGAACTGCTGCTGGACTCCCTGGAAAAACCCACCCTGTGTCAACCCACCAATACTTCTGTCACTCCCTGCAATTGTTCATCTGTCAAAACAAAAACACAAATTAATTCATCAATAAGCGGCATGTCAGCACAGCTGATACATTCATCAGGGAATTTTCAAAGTGTACATTACCATTCCTGTTATCCTGTGATGAAATGATGGACAACTTCTCTAATACAATTGCTCATGTTATTGAGATTATTGCTCCTGTAAAAACTATTGATATATATGGTCCACCAAAAGTACCCTGGAAAAATAGTGAAAGATGGCAAAAAACACTGCAGGAGAGTTGAGAGAAAATAAACTACAAATTAATTAATTTAGAAATCTATGAAAAATGCGCTATACTGCTAGAATAATTAAATTAACCAGAAAATCCTATGTCTCCCAAGTGATCAACAATAACCAGTCTAATTCTGCTTTTTTTTTCATCCACTGATGAAGTATTTTATCCCTCCAAAACCATGCTAACTGAATTTCCTTCAGTAAATGAGTGTGATGAAATTAAATCATTTTCTAAATATGATAAACGGCTCTCTCCACTCTGGTAAGCAAGCGTTCTGGTGACAGTGGGAAGGAAAAACTACCTTTTAACATTCAGAAACCTCCAGCCGAACCAGGCTCAGGGAGGGGCGACCATTTGCCTGAACTGGTTGGGGGTGAAGGGAGGCGACAGGATAAATGCTATGAAGAGAGTCTGAAATTACTAATAACTAAAAATTAAATGCAGAGTTGTGTATTAACACACAGTAAATAAAAAAGGTGACTGAAGAGGAAACACTATGTGCATAATGGGAATTCCCCAGCAACCTAGACCTATTGCAGTCTGAGGCCTCAGATCCAGCCCTAACTATATGCTTTACAAAAAGGAAAGTTTGAAGCCTAATCTTAAAAGTAGAGATGGCATCTGTCTCCTGAATCCAAACTGGAAGCTGGTTCCATAGAAGAGGGGCCTGAAAACTGAAGGCTCTGCCTTTCATTCTACTTTTAAATACTCTAAGAACCACATCCACAGTCTGAAGGCTATTTTACACTGAATGTGCTGCATAAAAACAACAGAAAATTCAGGTTTTTCTGGATCCAAATTTGTTGTGGAACCTTGGCATAATTTTGGATAGGGATCTCAATTTTGATAATGCTGTTTCCAGAATCAGATCTGAGTATGCTTAAGGTGCTTTTAGGTACTGGGGTCCTCTTCTTTGGAACAAGCTACCTGCTCACCTGATCAGTTACATCTGTGTGTAAATTCAAAATAAGACTTAATCATTGTAGGCCTGTGTAAATAAAGAGGTTTTAAGTGTTATTTTGTTTTGCTTCATTCAGTTTTGTTTTATTCTGTTTAGCCAATTTATTTATTTTTTTACTGTGTGAAGGCATTGTAAACCTACTGTTTAATGTGTCCTTATTTTCTGTGTTAACAAATAGTTCATGTAATGAAATGTAGCAGCCTGGGATCGAACCATAAGTCTTCCAATTAGGAGATGACCTACTTCCACAGACACCCCAAAATATGCTTTTAGTTTGAATAAGCCTATTTTTTGCAGACTTGGACCCAACTGGGTCTTGGCTCAAATCAGAACAGATTTGGACTGAAGGTGGGGACAGCAACTGAACACTGGAGGGGGGAAAGATGAGAACTACAACCAAATGCAGCCAAATGCCTCAGCAGTGTGGGCTAGACCCAGCTCACTCATCTTGCATGTACTTCCTTATTTTTTTTCTTTTTCTATGTGTATAATTATTTTTATTTTCATTTAGTTCAGTTATTTATATTTAGTTATATATATTTTCCCATTTGAAGTGAACTAGCATGTAAGAATTTCATTGCTGAGCGTAACCACTGTTTTCCAGTGTATGTGACAATAAACTATTAATTCTTGATGGAGGAGGATTTTAACTTGTTTAACTGACTGACTTGACTTCTTCTGGCTTTGACATTACATGGAAGGACACTACAAGAAGATGGACTGAAATCTGCAGTTTTCTTCCCACATCTTTGGAGTGAACAATGAATCTACGAAGAAGCCATTAAAAGTCGTTATTTTTTACAATTACTTTGAATAATTATAATGTTTTAAGGCTGTAAAACCCCTCACTACACACTTTATACGCTTTTCTCAGACAGGCATGAACATTTTCACATTTTTCTCTCTTGTTTAAACACTCTCAAAGTTCAAACCTTCGTAGAAAAATAAGTCCAGTATTATAGAATGAAACCAGGGGCAATTCTAGGATCAGAGCTGTTCCTTCCTGGAATAAAAAAACATACATATCCTAATCTTAATTACTGGGGGTGGATAATGAATGATGCTCATAGTGAGTAAAAAGTGCATGACTGAGTACATTTTTTATGGACAGAGATTCACTTTTAATGTGTATGTATAAAGATACAAAAAAATACACTCCAAAAATAGAAGAGTCTTCAAAATGTACAAATGTACAAAATATTAATTAAAAAATTATAAAAATGGAGGCAACTTTGCCTATCGTACAATGTACAGCTCCTCATTCCACCAGGGCACTGTTTGGCATTTTCTGAGTGCGCAAATGTGGTGCATGTACTGCAGCAGTCATACAGACAACTAGATGGTCCAAAAGTTGGCCTACCTATTATTGGCTGTATATTCATTTTAATCTCCCCAATCAATGACAATGTTACGTTGGAATGTTGTTAAAGAGGTTTAAAAAAATGTTTCAACAAGGCAGAACAGAACTTCCAGATTGTATGAGACAAATTAGGTTGTTTTTTTTTTCTTTGTCAGTTTAACAGTTTCTGTTTTGCCTGTCACTATTCCCTGTCTGTTTTCTTACCTGGTTCTTCCAGACCTTGTACTTTCTCCTCACGTTCCCCACTTTCCTGTCTCCTTCTTTGGACTGACAATCATACACAAATAGATTGTATTCAATTAGATGAAAAAATTACATTAATATGAAAAAAATACTATTAAGATCAATAATAAAAAGTCCTCTCTCAGTGTACTTTCAACCAAAAGGCAAATAACCGTGGTTACGTGTACATCTAATAAAAGATATAAATATTGAAACACTGATCCAATATTATTCTTGATTGACGGATCATTTGATCTTACACTTTTACCTGAATGTGGCTCCTTTTTTTGAAAAAACTTCCTTATATCCATTACAGTATATCCACACAAACGCACACACAACAGGAGTTATAAGGTTAATGGGACTTATAAGGTTATAAGTCAGTTAGCTAGTTAGTACCTTGGGTTTAATATCGGCACATGCGCATATGACAAAATAACTGGCTTCTCCATTTCAAACAGGACAGTGGTAACAACCAGAGGCGGAGCCAGACATTTTATACACCTGGGGCTTAGCCCTAAAGTTTATATAACTATTTAGCCTTGTTGAGCAAACAAGCCTGCATAACTTAATAAATATAGAATTTGAAAAATAACAAACCTAAAAAGATACTAGATACATGCTTTGATGAGTTTTGGCAAACAACCACTTGACTAACATGTCTGTCTCACCTGGCTCTTGTTCTATCTCTGTTCTGTCCTCATTATCCTCTCCATCCTCCTCTCTGTTCCTCTCTCTCCCTCTTTGTGCTAACAAACAAGCCAAACACCAACATCATCAAATATACAGTTGAAACCAGATATTTACATACTCTTCAGATAAAAACACAAACACTTTTTTAATTGTAAAACATCAAATCAGACTAAATGTTTATTTTTTTGATTGATAAATATAAAAAACGTATTTGTTAAATTTCACAATAAAGAGAGAAATTGTATGCATTTCTTAATTGCAAATGGCACCCAAATTGTATTCAAAATTAAGCCACACTTATGGAGGTCCACAATTCTTTTCCTGGTGTTTTGGTTGATATCTCTTGATTTTCCCATGACAAAGAAACAGGCTCTGTATTTTTGGGGTGCCTTATATGCATCCACAGGTGTGCCACCAATTTACTCAAATGGACTCAACTTACCTATAAGAAGCTTCTTAAGCTTAGAATGGAATCGTCTGGAGTTTTCTTATTAATTGAAGTTTTTCTTATTAATTAAAGACACAATAAACTTAGTGTAGATATACTCCTAAATTTATTTCAATATTTATTTATCTAAAACAAAAACGTTTACTCTAAATTGATGTTTAACAGAAAAAGAAATTTCTTGTTTTTCCCTAAAGTGTATAATAATGATAATGGATTGGATTTATATAGCGCTTTTCAAGGCACCCAAAGCGCTTATCAATGCCACTATTCATTCACTCTCGCATTCACACACTGGTGGAGGCAGCTACGGTTGTAGCCACAGCTGCCCTGGGGCAGACTGACAGAAGCGAGGCTGCCACATCGGCCCCTCTGGCCATTGTATGTAAGTATCTGGTTTCAACTGTGGATATACTGCTGTGTACTGAAATTCCTCTTGTTTTGCATAGAAATATATTGAACAACATACAAAGCATAATATATAAAATAACATTTACCTGAGTTTTCTCTTTGAAATAAGCTCCTTATGTCCATTGTTGTGTATATCAGCACATAACGGAAACTGATTTGGAGTGCTTTATTTAGCCGTAGAGGGAGCAACTGAAAATATAAAACACACATGTAAACTAAGACTCTCTAAAAAAAAAACAGCATTGTTGTTCGGCTTTTCATTTCGCCACTTGTTGGTTCACTTGAAGAGCAAGTAACGTAATATGGGTCAAGTGATCAGTTTGATATCAATCTTTTGTGATACACCGTCATATTTACATTGTTTGTATAGTACGAATGATTTGCTTGGGTACCTGGTCAAACTAAAGCTCTCCTCTGTCTGCCTGTCCGCACTTCTCCAACAAACTCGCAGGCAGCAGCTTCTCCCCCCTCGCTCACATGCGTAAGTGCTGTGCTCAGTCGCCTAGTGTCCGAGCTCAGATCATACCAAAAATAGGGGGGATTTACGACGTGCGCTATGTGCTTCGAATATTGCGTGTAGTTTTTGTTTTATACAGTTGTCAGTCAGGCATCTAACTATGAAACAAATTACACTATAAAAGACCATACGGTTACGGTGAAACCTTGGTTCTCTTAGTGAGAGACTATCTCTCCCCACCGTTACATATTCCATATGTACAGGGTATGACCCCCCTTGGTCGGGCGTGTGGCTACTTCTTTAAGACACTCCTCCTTCTAACCCGGGCACGCTCCACAGCTCACGTATAAAACAGCTGTGCAGACGTGACACAGATGATAGTTTGATCGGAACGCGTCTCCAAGCGGCGTGACGGTGGAGAGATAGTCACTCACTAAGAGAACCAAGGTTACACCATAACCGTACGTTCTCTACCACATCGAGACTATCTCTCCACACCGTTACATATTCCATATGTTCGGGGTAACTCTGTAAGACACCCCGCGAGGAGAAAGTGCAACCGAACCGCCGAGAGTGAAGGTACTGGGAGTCAATGACAACACACCAATAGACACACCACCCTGGTCAGGGCTTCGCAGATGCGAAGGCCTACGACATACGGGCAATGCCAGACAGAGAGTTGGCGCTACAGGCTAGAGAACTCTCACTCACCAGAGCGAGGTCCAACTGGCGTGTAAGCTGGCGAAGCGGGCAACACGCCAGGGGAACACAGCCAGCAGGACAAGCTAGGGATGTGATCTGTCCATCCTCAAAGCCGAAGCCGCCCCAAGCTGTTGACAGACAGGGTGGGGGCTGGCAGCCTAGCCTGCTGAAGTGGGGGGCACCGTCACCACGTGCTTTTCGGCAGACAGAGGAGCCTCAAGGGTGAACTCGCAAACGAGACGCTTGAGGTCAGACACAAATCCCCAGCTCACTGGGCGTTCCCGTGCTGGCTGTGTAAGCATGACACACAGGCAAAGCACCAGACAGGGAGCCAGCATAGCAGGCTGGGGAGCTCTCACTCACTGGCCAAAGTGTCAGACGCAGCAAGGTCTGACAAGCGCAAACCCACGGCATGCGGTTAGAGCGATGGAAACGCCAGAAGCACGGGCAGTCGGCTAGGACGAGCCCGTGTGCACACACACCAAGGATCCCCAGCTGGAGCCTGGGGAGCCCAGGGCCCAAACCTGGAAACCTGGAATCTCAGGAGCGGAGTGAGGAGAGGAAGCGTAGCTCACCGAGCCGCTGAGTGGGGATCCCACTGGCCACGCAACCCTGCAAGAGGCGGGCAACGCCAGACAGGAAGTAACCCTCACGCCCCTGTTAGGGCATGCCGCCCTGCCCCAGGGAAGGCCAGAAGGGGCAACAAGGGATCAGGGGTGGGGCTATCGGGGGAGGAGCCAAAGACACCTACTCCCGCCAGCATGGCAGCAACCATCTGTGGACAGGGGACCACAAATGCTGGGAGGCGGGGCACTCAACTGCCTGCCACCAGACCTATCAGGAAGGAGCGGCACCTGAGGTGGGCTGAGGCCGCGTGACATCAACCTCGAGGTCCACTCTACTAGATAGGACCTCAGGAAGGGCTAGTTCCCACACCCTGCATGCTCCAATCAAGAGCTGAAGAGACCCATCTCACCCAACTCTGTGCCTGGGGACCAGCAGGGGAGGATGGAAGTTTCTTCAACATCCGCCACCTGATCGTCAACCTCCACCGGCCCAGGCCTCACAGAGGCGGAGCCATGGGAGGGACACTGTGGGAGGGGCCAACAGTGAATCAGCAACAGGTGTGGGAAGGGACCCAGCCCATGGCCTGCCTATCTGGTGTCCACAGCAGTGGCAGCCATTGTCCCCATAGTATCCTGCTTTCTTTTTTTGGGAGGCATGAGATGGGGGAGGGCGGGCCATTTAAATGCTTTCAGAAAAACAAGCATGGTCTCCCTAGTTCGTGCTGGCAACAAAGCAGTCCATGCAAGAATCAACTTCTCTAGCCAGCACAGCATGCTC